TTTAGGTGTACAGTTCAGTGGCATTAAGTACATTCACACTGTTGTACATCTATTATTGCCACCCATCTCCAGAACTTTTTCATCTTTTCCAGCTGTACCCATTAAACCTTAACTCTCCACTCCTCCCCCACCCCCAGCTCTTGGCAACCACCATTCTACTTTCTGTCTCTATGAATTTTTCTATTCTTGGTTCCTCATATAAGTGGAATCACGCAGTGTTTGTACTTTTGTATCTGGCTTATTTCAGTTAGCTAATGTCGTCAGGGTTCATCCACTTTGTATGTAACATGTGTCAGAATTCCCTTATTTTTACAAGGCTCAATAATTTTTCATTGTATGTATATATCACATTTTGTTTAGCCTTTCATCCATTGATGGACATTTGGGTTGTTTCCACCTTTTGGCTATTGTGAATAATCCTGCTATGAACACTGGTGTACAAATATCTGTCCAAGTCCCTGCTTTCAATTCTTTTGGCCATATGCCCAGAAGTGTAAATGCTGGATCATATGGTAATTTCTTTTTGAGGAACTGCCATACTGTTTTCCACAGTGGCTGCACCATTTTACATTCCTATCAGCAATGTACAGGGCTCTAATTTCTGCACATCTTACCCAACACTTTTCTTCTGTTTTTTGGGAGTTTTTTTATAATGACCATCCTAGTGGGTGTGAAGTGATAGCTCATTGTGGCTTTACTTGGACCAGGCAATATTGTGGTTGCCTCTTGGATGATCTGTGTTCCACAGTAGACTAGAGGTTTGTAAGGTCAGCGCCAGTGCCTATCCTATCTCAGTCACTTGCATGTCTTCTGCCCCAGCAGAGTGCCTGCCCACAGTCAAATGTGGCCAAATAACAGAACAACTGAGAATGAATGAAATCCGATCCAGGTTCAGAACTCAGCATCTAGGCTTTCTCCCTGGGGAGCAGGCGTCGTCCCATTGCTTATGGGCCTGGGTGGGCTCCCTCAGTGGCTGACCTGGGAGCAGGGGCCAGTTCTTTGCACCACTTTCCCAGTATGGCCATTTGCCTTTCAGGTGATCTTTAAACTACTCTTGCAGCTAACATAGACCTGGCCCTGCCACCTTATAACCTACGAGAGAACATACATGCCTAGACAGAGGAGACAGGCAGCTCAGTCAAGCACATTTGCAGGTAACAACAGCCCACAGTTTTAGGGAACCTCGAACTTTTCTCACTTCCTTGTACAAAATATACTCAAAATTTGTTTGAATCTTCTGGAAAGAAATGCCATTTGAAAACTTTGCATCCCTTGTATTTATGGGCCCTTTAGAAATGCATCAACTCAGACGAAGTTGGTGCAGGGAAATGAGCAGAGAAGTGTGTGTGCCCATTTGTGTGCGTGACTGCACAGCAGTGTTTGGTCAGTGGGCAGTGTGGGTCAGGGAAGTTTCCTAGGCCCTGCAGCCTGCTCTGCCCTCATTCCTGAACATGCCCATTTGGTCTTGAGAAGGGCATAGGGGTCTCGATACTTGCCCATCACTTTTTCTAAAGGCTAGCATAGCTCATAGCGTGTAAACACTCATCTGCCTGGGGTGTCCTGTGTGGCTGCTGCACTGAGGGCAGGGAGTGAGCAATGAGCCTGACACTGCCTGACACTGCCTACTGGGCTCTCCAAGAGCCTCCCATTCTCTGCAGTGCTTGGCCCTCCAAATAATCCTCTGAGGTCACTGGCATAGGGACTCATGGATTTAGGACTAGAACCCAGGTCCCAAGCTTCCAGCATCTGTTGGTCTTGCCTGCCCCATGGCCACCTGGGGAGCAGCGTGAGTCTGAAGGACCACACCCTTGTTTCTGGGTGTTGGACACAAGTCAGTGTCAGTGGAAGGATTCCTTAGTGGGGTGGAGAGTAGGCTACGTAGCCTGCATGGCCTCTTTCTCAGCAGGAACATTTTACAGTTTGGGGCTTCTAGACTAAAGTGACTGCCCTAAGACTCAGACCCTTGCAGTATTACTGAACCACACCAGCCTTCCTTCAAGAGGGCAGGCACTGCCTTCAGACCTGCTGACAGAGCGGTAAGGTCCAGCTTTTCATGCTTGCACCCCTTTATAGAACCATAGTCTTCTAGTTCTTTAATGACCCAGAGGGAGTTTCCATGTCCAGCCACCTTATGGTCTTTGCCTCAAGGGAAACTGAGGCTCAGAAAGGTTTAGGAACTTACTCAAGTTCACACTACTACTTGGGGTTAAAATCGAGTTCTTTCTTTTTAAATCACTTTATTGAGATACGCTTGACATGTAAAAAGCTGTACATATTTAATACACACAATTCAGTGAGTTTGGGGATAAATATATTTGCTTGAAACCATCACCACCATCAAGGCATAGACATATCTACACCTCTCAAAGTTTCCTCCCACCCCCTTTTAATTAGGGGGGGGAGGGTGAAGAACGCTTAACATAAGATCTGCCCTCTTAGCAAAGGATACAGTGCAGTACCATGCTATAGTATAGTAGACTTCCAGAACGTATTTATCTTGCACACCTGACACTTTATACTCTTGTACTCTTACCTCCTCATTTCCCCTCCCCTCAGCCCCTGGCAACCACCATTCCATTCTCTGCTTCTATGAGTTTAGCTATTTTAGAATCATACAAGTGAGATCATAGAGTATTTGTCTTTCTGTGTCTGGCTTATTTCACTAAAACCAATTTCTTGACTCCGTATACTGTGTGTTTGTTTCATCTCATTGTCTCCGATTTCATCAAGACTCCCAGCAGCCGGCCCCTGTCCAGGACACCTCTACTGGGGAGGAAGTAGGTGGAGGGTCTCAGCCACCTACGGCGGTCAGAGAGCCTGTGTGTTTGAATGTGGCTAGGAAAAGCGAAATCTCCCCAGGCCCAGCTCCTCCGTCCCTGCAAAATATCACCATTTCAAATTTGACTTCACTGTGGACTTTGAGTCAGACACATGCAGGTTCGAATGCCAGCTTTGCCTCAAACCAGCAGCTTAGGTAGACCAGTAATCGCTGTGAGCAAGAGACAATGTACGTCACAGACTTGGCAGAATCTGCCTGTGCAAAAAATAGATGTTCCAAAATGCTGGCTCTAGAACTGGGGTCTCTACAGTAGAGCCTGTAAGTTGGGAAAAGGCTCAACACCCCATAGGGGAGAGGAGGTGGGACAGAGAAACACAGCTCTGGTCCAAGGCTAGGCCAGAAAGAAGGACAACGGTTATGGAACAAAGACAAGAAATGGGAGAGACGCTGTTAAATTTTGGCTATATTTACTAATGAAAATGTTTTTAAATTAAAAGCTTTTACTGTTGCTTTATTTTAAAAGTATCATATGTTCATTATAGAAAAATTAGGAAACACAGAGGCAAACACACACACACACACACACACACACACGCGTGCGCACGCATATCACCACAGTCCCATCACCCAAAGAGAGCTGTAGTTTTTCTCTAGTTTTCCTCCGCATATTCAATTAGTCCACATAAGTTTTCTGAATTAGGGCTCATACTCTTTTCCAAACCGCTAGTTTTTGTTTGTTTTTTTGAACCTACAAGATATAACAGCAGTCTTTTCATGTTAATAAGGCTACATCTCCACCCTGATCCTAAGAGGCTGTTTCCTATTTCACCATGAGATTGGACCACTTTCTATTTGAATTCTGCATTGAAAGATGGGATGATGGATGTGGGATGAGAGGAGGAAGGTTCAGAACCAAAACCCAGGGCTAGTTACTCTCCAGGGTGCCCTGTTCTCTGCACACAGCTGGTGTCAGGTTTGGATGACTTTGACCAGGCAGATGTTTTGGCACCCTTTGCTTTCCTGGGACAGGCCTGGTCCATGGAGGAGCCCCTAGGCCAGCAGTTTTCCAATGTGTACTGTACAAACACCAGTGGAGAGGACAGGAGATGGTGGGGCCAGGCTGGATGAAGCACATGCATCTGGGGGAAGAGAGAGGACCAGGAGGTGGGCTGATCCCTTCCCAGCCCCACGGTCCAAGGCAGCCCAGAGTTTAACAGCATTGGGCAGAGTCCAGTGTGAGGGGCAGATCTAGTCCACAGCCCTCCATTTTCCTCTGTGGGATTTTGAGGCCCATCCAGTTCAGGGCTATACCCTCCTGGGAGCACCATAAATGAGAATTAAACTGAATCCCATTAGTGCTAAATGAAAAAACCCACAGAGTAAGATCAGAAATGCCAGTGGTTTCCATTGGCCTGGACAAGGCAGAAAGAAAAGGCATCTTATGGAAATGAGCCCTTAAGAACCTCCAAGATCTTGGAGAGCTAACAGTGCTTACTGTTTAGTGTGGGCCAAATTAAAAACAGCCTGGCCATATCCCCACAGCCAGCAGGCAACACAGTGCCCACAGTCTCTGGGACCCTCACAGAAAGGTCTCAAGGTGCAGCCTGGCTCCTATGGGTGCAGCCTCAGCTCTCCATCTGCCATAGGAGGGGTTGAATTAAAGTGTCTCAAAGTCCCTTTCTGTTTCCCAAGTTCTGTAATCCTTGGGAGCCGCCCAGGTTTCAGAAGGATATTAAATGCCTTTGGCAGTAAGCTCTCCAGTGTGATGCAGTGTTAGTCCAGGAATGAGGGCTCCCAAGCCAAGGTGACGCTGCCTTCTGTGAGACAGAATGGCTTCTGTCCTGCTAAAGAGAACCACATCTTGGGGTCCCCAGTCTGAGGCTAAGCACAGGGCACTGAAGGCTGACAAACCTGGGTTTTTATCTCTGATGCCTCTTTCCCAGCTGTGTGGCCCTCTCCTCCAGATATGAAGATACTGATCCCTCCCCTCTCATCTACCTGCCTGGACCCATAGGGGAGAAAGAATGGATACCCGTGAGAAGAAGAGTCCTCTCCCACCCCAAAAGGAGTGCACATGGAGCAGGGAGCCCACCCTCTCACCTTTCTCTCACTTTTGTTTCTAGAGTCACTCCCGAAGGCCTGGGAGAAAGGCCAGGCTCAGAGGCCAGTGGTGGAGCCAGGAGACAGGGGTGGTGGTGACCGGCATGCACTCTCATTGCAGGGAACAGCAGCCTCTTCCATGCAGAGCTTTGTCAGAAGCATTGGAAGGATCTGCCCCCCAGTAAGTGCCACAGCAGCACCCAGGACACCCGGAAGGAGACCAGCAGCATGTGGGGTCTTATGGTGGTCGCCCAGTTGCTGGCAGGCATTGGGACAGTGCCCATTCAGCCATTTGGGATCTCCTATGTGGACGACTTCTCGGAGCCCAACAATTCGCCCCTGTACATCTGTGAGTCACAGGCTTGAAGAGGGCTGTGGGGAGGGGTTGGATCCTGATATGACACTTACTTAGGCCCTGAGGGACTGAATCCAGGTCTTAACCTTCTTTGTTCCACAGCACAGCAAATGAGTGCAGAGGTTTGGGGATCAGACCTGGTTTGAATGGCAGTTCTGTTAACCTACCAGCTGTGGGATATGGGCAAGTGGCTAAGCCCCAGGGCCCCAGGTTTCTCACTTGCAGAATGGGGCTGACAATATTTGTGCACTGGGCAGCTGTGGGATTACATGAGGTCATGTATGTGACCATTTAGCCCATGCCAGGCACAGGGAAGCTCCTTGACCAGCAGTAGCTACTGGTGCTGTCCAGTCCTCCAGGCCTCGGTCTGAGCACACGTCTCTCTGAACCGTCCACTTATGGACAGGTTGACCTCAAAGAAGCACATGCAAAGAAGATAGAAGACTATCTGACTGCTCAGATCCTTCCCTTAGCACAGACTACATCAAGCGTCCTCAGGACCTACACCCTAGACCAGACAGACCACACCTACTGGCTCTGTGGCCTCAGGAGCTTCTGCCAAGGCCTCCAACACTGTCCCTGCAGAGAGCTTTGCCCACTAGCACTGCCCTGGGCCAGCACCTTTAAATGCCAGGAAGACCATTTACCCTCCTGGCAAGAAGATCTCTCTGGCAGCTGGCTGGAGGAGAAACATGTTTGTCTCTGCACATCTTAGAATCTTGAGTGGTTCTGGCACTGTCTGAGGGAAATGCCATAGGTGTGGACTTGTCAAGGTCAGGGAGCAGATGGGGTGACATCTTGGGAATCCTTCAGCTAGGGAAAGAGCCTGGGGCTGCCACACCTTCTCAGTCCTCCTCAGCCTTCTTTCCTCTGCTTTCCTTGTCAGCCATCTTATTTGCCATCTCCGTATTTGGACCGGCTTTTGGGTTCCTGCTGGGCTCTGTCATGCTGCAGATCTTTGTGGACTATGGCAGGGTGAACACAGGTGAGTGTTTAATGATGCCCATCCCATTGCCAGTTTCACGAAGCAGCCTCCCTGTTCCTTCCTCCAACCCTCGCCCCACCCTGCCAACAAGCAATCAGGGCAGAGAATGAAGCTTCAACTGCAAATGCTCACTGCCATTCGCTCACTCCCATGCTCACTCCTGCTGTTCTTCAGACAGCCAGGAGCAGATGGCAGGTGCCTCCCCTCCCAGGGCCCATGTTGGATGCTAGGAAGAAGGGGGGTGCACTGCTGAAAAACACACACATACTTTGTGCCCTCAAGAAGTTTGCAACTCAGGTCAACTGCAGGGAAAACTTGAGACCTTGGGAAGGGCTTCAGGTGTTGCTATGACAGCTGCCCATCTTGGTGGTGGTCTTAAAAATTATTCCTGCCCATCAGAAGATGTGACTGGAAGGCCATGTGAACCAGACCCTCAGGAATAGCACCCACACCTGTGCCAGATACACAGATCAGAGCCTGCTTGTCTCACAAAGAATATGGGCAGGCATTGAACCAGACCATGCTGCCAGAACCCACAGACTCCCGTCTCCGGGACCATCAGACCATGAGGTCGTCTGCATGGCGTCTTCAGCCTATACTTCAAACCAAAGAGGAAAGCCAGGGGGAGCTTCCTGCCTCAGGGTCAAACCATCTTTGCCCTTTCAACTGGCACTTCCTGCATTGGTTCCTGGCTCTTGGTTGACCAAAAGACTATCAACCGAGCTCCCAGTCCACCAGGGGCAGTGCCTAGGGATGCCTGTTATTGTTTGCCTGAGGTCCATTCTATTCTGTCTCCTTCCCTCCATGCCTAGGTAGTTTCCTTAGAAAGGGAAACACAATGGCAGACTCTTAGATGTAGACAGGAGACTTGCCAGGAGAAAGCATCTCCTTTGGAGGCAAGGCGGCTCACTCTGTGGATGGTTGTTTCCTCGGGCTCCTAAAGATCATGAGGCCTCCTTTCTTAGGGAGCAATACAGTTGGGCAGCAGTAGCATTCAGTGGTTAAGGGCTCAGATGTGGACATCAAGGAGACATAGGTTTCAAATTGATCAATAACTTTAACTTTGGACAAGGGCAAGGTTAACCTCTCTGAGCCTCAGTTTTCTGATTGGCTGGAAGTGGGTGGACATAGCTTCTGCCTCATAGACTCGCTGGGAGAACCCAGCAAGATAATAGATGTAAACACATGGTCTAGTGTGTGGCCTGTGGTAAGCCTCGAGAGAGTCACTGTCAGGGCTTAGGACTAAAATAAGGTGAGGCCAAGGTACTGATCCCTTCAGCTTGGGGATTCTCTGATGTTCTGCTTCATGTGCAGTGGCCTTCATTTTCTGGGAAGACCAGAATGGCCAGGATAGGGAATGTCACCTTGGGCAAGGTTCTATTTCATGGCTTTATCTCTTCTCCATTGTGGGGAGAAAACCCCCCTAATTAGAGAGCCTCTTCCCCCAGTAAGGTGAGATCATGCATTCATCCAACAAACCTTGTGTCCTTTGCTTTCTCTTCAGCCTCAGTTAACTTGAGCCCCGAAGACCCCCGATGGATTGGAGCCTGGTGGTTGGGCCTGATCATTTCCTCGGCCTTATTGGTTTTCACCTCCTTCCCTTTTTTCTTCTTTCCTCGCACAATGGCCAGAGAAGTGGAGGTAAGGTTTTGAGAGCCCATAACTCTACCTACAGGAATTTACAGAAGGGAGATAAGGGTGGAAAATAAACAGAGCAGAGACGCTGCAGCAAGTTAAGTAAATTCTGGGTGAACTCTAAATAAATCTAATGGTATAGGACTTCTCAGAGGCTTTAAGAGGTGAGAGTGCTGGTGAATTTCCAAAAGATGGTATCTCAGTGTGCCCTTCCCATGGTAACATATAGGGATGTAGTTCAGGAAACACTGAGCTCATCTAAATTGGGATAAAGAGTGAAGATCCAGTAAGAGCTGAATATGTGACCTGGTGCAATTGACTTTCACATTTCATAAGCCCATCATGTCTGAGCCTGAAAGACTGGGTAAGAAGGGAGTCCTAGTGCTTAAGAGAGTGAAGGTGGTCTGAAAGCGAAGCACAGTTTGAACAGACTGACCTTCCACATATTTTTCACTCATATCTTTTTGGGAAAGAAATCAAGGAAAGATGAGAATGGAAAACAGAGACGAGAATTCTGGGTGGGGACTTTGATGGTAGGTTGATGGGTCTAAAACCTGCTCTGATCCCATGAAATTCTGCAGTGATGGGGCTACCAGTCAGGTGGCAATATGGCAGTTAGGTTGAGGTTGGGAATCAGGAAGGAAGACTGGAAATCTGAAGAGGTCAGTGTAGACAGAGGCGATGATGGCTGAGGCCAGGGCAGGGATAGATGCTCCTGGAGGCAGTACTGAGAAGGACTCAGCAGCGACCTGGATTGGAGAAGAGGGGCTACAGTTAGCACCAAGGTTTTGAGCCAGACACAGAGCTTGATGTTAAGCAATGAGGTATATGAGGTCTTGGCCCAGTCTTGGGAGGAGGGGCAGGGGTAGGAGGATATGGGCTTATCTTGGAGAAAATTTCCAGAGGCTGGCAACACATCACGGTGGTTTTGGAGTCAAGCAAACCTGAGTTTGAATCCAGCTCTGCTACTTATGAACTAGATGAGTGATCTTGGGCAAGTTCCCTTGTTCCTAAGTTTTCTCTCCTTTAAAATACTGGAAATAGAGTAGGTATCTCAGAAAGAGACTGTGAGGAGTGGGACGATGCATGTGGAACACTAGGAACAATGCCCAACATGGAGTTAGCGCTCAATGAATGGCAGCTCCTGTGCCTGGTAATGAGTTCCCCAGAGGATCCTAACCATGTCAGAGCTCAGGGCCTTGCATCTGAGTGGTGGTTTAGAGCTACATCTGATGAGTTCAGAAGAGGTAAGCGAGTTCACCAAGGTGATATGCACAGAAAGTTCAGGCACAGGGCCAGGATAGGGCTTTGAGCAGGACTCAGTTTGGGGCCAGAAGGAAGAAGGGACTCCATAGAGGAGACTGAAAAAGAGCTGGAAACAGAAGTCATTCTGGACTACAGTGTCTCAGAAGCCCACGGCCTCTGAAATCCGAGGACAGGGAAGAAACATGGCCATGACAACAGGCAAGGGGTGAGATCTGGTCAGATCCTTTTTGGAATCAGTTGTGGGAAAGTTAGATATGAAGTAACATGCCCAGAGGTCTCTTGGGAGGCATTGGCATGGCTGAATTCTGGTGAGCAGCCAAAGCACTGGGCTCACTAACATGCAGATGGCATTTACTTCAAGAGAGCATTCTCTGGACACCTTCCCATAATACCTGGGTCAGCTCACTGCTACCTCACCCCAAGCCACTGAGACCAGAAGGGTCAAGGGGCCGGGAAGCGTGGCCACAGGGAGCCTGGGCCATTAACACTCGTCTCCTTTGCTACCCTCAGAGGTCTCCTGCCATAGCAGACGAGGCGAGGAAGATGAAGGTCAAGCCAAGAGGCTCCCTGGTGGATTTCATTAAACGTAACTGACTGACCCAGCAAGGCCCTGGGGGGGCTGGCTTAGGGGGGTCAGGGGAGGGCATCAGGGAGTACCTAAGCCCATGTGGTGTCGTGTATGGTAAGAGGCATTAGGAGCAAGGTGGTCTATAATTGGTCCAACTCACAGGAGGGGTTCTGCCAGTAGACACAGATTCAAGCAGAGCCAGCCCCACCCCATGCTCTCTCTCCTCCCTTCACATGCAGGTGGCTGTCATGTGAGGCAAATGTCCCCACTGTTAGTCTTATTTCTATCCACCTGCTGCCTGATCTCTTCCAGACACATTCTGATTTTCTTAAACCCGTGAGCATGTTGAGTGGGGGTCCGAGAGGCTGTGTGGCCCTGGATGGGCCACTGAACTCCTTGGTGCCTCAGATGCCATCCTGAGGAAGAGAGGGGCGCCATCTGGGGGAGAAGGAAGGGCAGCGGCCAGGCTCACAGCACCCGTGATGCTGCGTGGGCAAGGGCCCGGCCCTGACTGTGGCCCGCTTGCAGGGTTTCCCCGCATCTTCCTGAGGCTCCTCATGAACCCGCTCTTCATGCTGGTGGTCCTGGCGCAGTGCACCTTCTCCTCCGTCATCGCCGGCCTCTCCACATTCCTCAACAAGTTCCTGGAGAAGCAGTACGGCGCCTCCACGGCCTATGCCAACTTCCTCATCGGTGAGTCCTGGCAGGGGCTCCCAGGTGGATTTCACTAAACGTAGCTGACTGACCTGGCAAAGCCCGGGGTGGGCTGGCTTGGGCAGGTGGCATCAGGGAGTCCCCACAGGAGTCAGAGGAGGACTTTCCCACAAGAAAGAATTCTAGGGACAGTTTTCTTGGTTGGCAATCTAGAGTGCTCTGAACAGATTTCTGGGACCCCTGTCATTCTAGGCAGGAGTGGGCAGAGGCGGGGGGCTGCCTTCCTCCCGTCAGAGGGGCTGGAAGCCTGACAGCCTCCCACAGGCCCTGGGGCAGCAGAGGAAAGAAAGAGCATCAGTTTGGGGTTAGGTAAAATGCTCCTGGTTCTGTTCCTTCCTCTCAAGGACTTGGATTCATTTGCTTGGGTAGGGAGTCTATGACCCACGGATTCTCAGCTCAGGCTGCATTTTAGGCTCCCCTGGAGAGCTTTAAATATTAATGCCTAGGCCCCACCTTCCATCAATGACAGTGGAGTCTCTGGGAGGTACCCAGCATTGGGGCTTTTTGCCAGTGAGGTTGAGAAGCACTGATGTGGTCCCACCAAATATCCAAGTGATTTACTGAGCCAAATCCACAGGTGTGCTTGACCTTATAGATGGGGCAAGGTGTTCAGGGTGTGAACCCTGACCTCCTGTGTGGCCCTTGGCTGTGACCTTAATTCTCCAGTCTTAGACCTCTGACTAGCAGGCAGGGGGCACCACCAGAGCCTTGCTAACCCCATGTGGTCACAGTGAGGATGCAATGAGGGGTCAGGCAATGCAAGGTGCTAAATAAACGCACATTCAACCCACATCCTTCTGGCTGCAAGAGCCCCACTTCTTTTCTTTGCATAGGCAGGGTAATCCTCTAGGTCAGGATAACTGTGTAGATGTGCCCGGCAAACAGTAAATGCTCAATTTCTGTCAGGTATTGTTACTGTGATGGAGCATATCAAATGTTTCTTCAGGAAGCTGTGCCCCTTCTTTATGGTCCAGGTGGATGTCTGTGCCCACACACACTCCCAAGCCTGTGCACACAGACCAGCTTCTTTCTCTCTCCAGGTGCTGTGAACCTCCCCGCGGCGGCCTTAGGGATACTGTTTGGAGGAATCCTCATGAGGCGTTTTGTTTTCTCTCTGCAAACCATTCCCCGGGTGGCTGCCACCATCATGACCATCTCCATTATCTTGTGTGCCCCTCTCTTCTTGATGGGATGCTCCACCCCGCTCGTGGAAGAGGTCTACCCACCTAGGTAATGGGAATGAGGGGTGAGAAGGTACCCTTCGCTAAAGGCCAGAGCCTGGATCTGGCTGCCATACCTCTTCCTTTCTGCTTCCTCAAGTCTCTTCTCTCTTTTTCACTTTTTGACCAAATCTTTTATGTGGATACTTAGAAAATCAGGCCTCGGATAAAATACTGAATTATAAGAAATCAGAGGGTCCTAGGGTTAAGGGTCTATTTTTTTAAAAAAGCACCAAAAACTAATTAGTTTGGTTTCAGGATGAATCTGTAGGGCTGTGAGACTCAAGAACCAGGAAATAAGCTATATTTAGCATCAGCTCTGTGCCAGCTAGAATTACAGAGTCTCGTGGAGCTGCTGAAAAAAGATGAGAGAGAGATGGAGACTTGAAAAGATCTGGAAAAGAACAATGCAAGTGATGGCAGACTTTTAAAATGAGGGCAGGTGAGGAAGAAGGTGGGTGAAGTATACCTGTCGGTTTGCATAAAGCAACACAGTCCTAAGTTTTAAGTCTGGGCTTCATGTTTAGGAAGGAGCTTTAGAGGCTTATGAAGGAAGGACACCGAGCAGGGAGCATTTAATTTTTTTTCTGTGTGATACCTTTCAACCACCTCTTCTTTTAAATTTTGCTTAATGAGCTTACAACATTTGGAGATGCTGTACCTTTCAGCCTTGGTGTTTTCTTCTCTTTCTCTCCTAAATAACCTCTTCTGTCTTTGGTGGAAGAAGGAGAGAAGAGGTGTGTGGAAAGGAAGGGCTGCTCAGGATGGAAGAGCCCCTGGTTCGTACTGGTCTTCTGCAGGCTGACTATGGATTGAGAGAAGCTGAGAAGGCCCTGGGCCTTTCGGTAGCTTTCACTAGGGGTTAGCACAGGGCTTTGTCATCAGACTGGGTTCTAGTTCTGGCACTGCCCTTACTAGTTGGGGAAAGTTACTTAGCTTATCTAATCTTCCAATCTTCAGTGTTCTTATCCATAAAAGGAGCACAATAATTATAGTTATTGTGATGATGTGCTTGAAAAGCCCCTGAGCACAGTGCCTGGCACATAAGAGATGCCCTATTAATGTTAACACATTAGTATAATTATTTTAGCAAAGCTCTGGACTGTGGTTTGTCAGCCCTCCCCCAACCCTCCCCAAAGAAGATCATGAATATCGGATAGGAAGTGAAATCTCCTTTTTTGAAGCTCGGGGATGGAGGGACCTAGGCAGTGTCTATATAGACTTAGATACAGGAACCATCTAGACCCCCAATGGCTTCAAGGGGCCCTGGCCTGTCCCTTGGCCGGAGGCCAGGTGTAGCATCTGCTATTTCTCTCATCAGAGTCCTGGTTGGTTGTTTGTCTTGAGCACTTCTGTAGTGGGGCGGTTGCCCACCAAGCCTTTCTGATGAGCCGTTGGTGGGTTTGGGCTTCTAGTAGCAGAAGAAACGGAGAGGTGCCACAAGCACTGACCAGCGTCCAATTCACCATTGGCCCCAAGAGACATAATTCAAATCCCAGGGTGGTGCTGGCCCAAGACACACAGAGATGCACAGGCACGCCGACCAGGCGGGAGCTCGCACTGGGCTGACGCGGAGAGATTTTCTTTGGTCTTGCTTTGTTTGAGTCCCCGTTTCCTGTTTTTCTGGCAGCACATCAAGTTCTATACATCCGCAGCCTCCCGCCTGCCGCAAGGACTGTGCGTGCCCGGATTCCATCTTCCACCCTGTCTGCGGAGACAATGGGGTAGAATACCTCTCCCCGTGCCATGCGGGCTGCAGCCACATCAACATCAGCTCTGTAGCCTCCAAGCAACAGGTGAGGGCAGGAGGAGCCCCACGGGGTCCCCGAGCTCAGTGTGTGCCCTCAAAGACTGCTCCTCGGCTCCAGGATGGGCAGGGCGCCACCCACACCCCCCTCATTCCTCCCATCCTGGCCTCCGGGCCACATCCGCCCGCTCTCTACCTCCCCTTCCCTAAGGTCATGACCAGATGCCTACAGCCCAAAGTCAGTTAAAGATTGGCTGCTGTTCAACAAATGCACATTCCTGAGGCTCAGAGAAAAAACCACCCAGAGCACTTCTTTAGCTGAGGCCTTCCAGGATCATCCTGACGGGTCCTAATGAGCATCTTTGGACAGGCCCAAATAAATCAAGGGCAGAGGGTCCTCCTGGATGTGGACCTGGAAGGTTAGAGCTGGAAGCTGTGACCAAGGGCATTATGTTCACTCTCTCAGCTCTGAAGTGTGGCCACACAACTGGCTTGAAGTCATGCAGTTATTTAGGGGCAGATCTGGGTCTAGAACCCAGGATCCTGCTTCAGTCTGGTCATGTATCTCCTGGCCACCAGCCTTCCATGTGTGTAGCCCACATTCACTAGTTCACTTGGTGAGGTCCTATCAGCCCTCTGAGCACTGTGGCTCCTGGCCCCCTAGGATCAGCCAGCAGCAATTTAACTTGAGTCATTTGTTCAGTTATGCAACAAGTAATGGACACCAGGTACAGATGCACATGCTGAGGATTTAGTGGTGAACCCATCAGAAAAAGTTCCTGCTCTCATGGAGTTCTCATTCCGTCAAATAAATGCACAAGATAGTTTTGGAAAGTGGCCCATGCCATCAGGAGAGTTAATGGACAGAGTGTGCACTGAGGCCTCCGGAGGAGGTGATGTTAGAACTGAATCATCAGAAGAAAACCCTATGAAGACCTGGGGGGGTGAAGCATTCCCACTAAAGGAACATCAAGTGCAAAGCCCCAGGGAGTGAATGAGCTGTGGGTAGGAGAAGAGAGAAGGCCAGGATTGGTGCTGGGCCAGGGAGCAGACAGGGGCCAGAGCCAGGCAGGCCAGGTTTAGGAGTTGGGTGTTCTTTTTCCTAAGAGCAGTGGGAAGTCTGTGCAGTTCCCCTAAGGAACAGAATGCACCTTGTTCCCTTAAGCCTGTATGGAGGTCATGAGCAAGGCCAGCCCCCCATTTCCCACCCTCCTCTCAGAGGATAAAGGAAGACTGCTTCCATGGCCACCTCAGTGGGCAGAGGAGCATGAGTCTCAGGCAGAGGGGGTTGGCAAGGAACTTGGAGAAGATATTCTCTCAGTTGCCTTCTAGCTGGAGGAGTCTGTGGTGACCTCTGTGGTTTTCTTATCTCCCTTTGCTTACCTCTGACTTACCTACCTCCAGAAATAACCTTGACACGTTTCCGACAGCAGCACAGATCATCATCATTAGCATAATATCAAGAAAAAATAGTAAATTATAAGAAAAATAATCTATGGAAGTAGTAGCCATATTGTACATAAGCTTATTTCTGAGCTTCCTAGCAGCCAAAATAAAGAAGGTGCATAGTTCTTGCTGTCTGGTAGAAGAAAACATACTTGCTCATTCGTCCCAGACCTGGCTTTATAACTGCTTTGACACTTAAGTGGTCATAGGCTAGTCCATCAGACACTGCAAGGGGGGTGGTAAAGACCACCTGGGCAGTGGCTGAGTTGTACAGTAGTGCTGACTTGCAGGCTTGAGAAGGGGACCTCCTTCCCTAGAGACCTTTACAGACAGGAGGAGTTCCTCTCTGGCAAAGGCCTGACAGATGAAGAGCTTAGTGGATTCCATTGTGTTTTCTGTTCTCTCCTATTTATACCTTCCTTACCCTCCCTGCAATAAATATACAAACAGCAAAAACAACCCACAAAGCCACGGCTGCTGGGCATGGAGTAGCCTGGCCCAGAGAGGAAGCCCTCCCAGCCCCTGGTCCCAGGGTGGGTGGGCCTTGCCTGGCAGTGGAATCCTGCATATACTGATGTGGGTGCAACTGCTGGAGGAGCCCAGTCCATGCTGGACACTTGGTTTTGGTGAAGATGGTTTCTGTTGCCCGAGCAGTGGTAAGAGGTGGGATCCACAGGGCACCTTGAAACCCTCCGCTGGTCTCCTCTCCAGCCTCTGCATCCAGCCTCACCCAGCTCCCCAGGGGACCCAGAGGGCAGAGGAGTTGAAACCTAAGGGATCGTCTGGCAAGAGCTGGTGCAGGCGTTTGACGTATGCGTGGGCCAAGTAATGACAACGCATTTCCCCCTTTTTCCTTTCTTTCCTTTTCAAGATCTATTTGAACTGCAGCTGTGTGGTCGGGGGATCTGCTTCAGCAAAGACAGGATCGTGCCCCATCCCCTGTGCCCACTTCCTGCTCCCGTCCACCTTCCTCATCTCCTTTGTGTCTCTCATCGCCTGCATCTCCCACAACCCCCTCTACATGATGGTCCTGCGGTGAGTGCCCCTCGCCTTCCCCCAGTTTGCCTCTGCTTTATGCCCAGCTGCCCACTTGTCATCTTTCCTCCCTTTCCTGGTCCTCAGAGCCCTTCGAACACGCTGGACAGTGTTCTTCGGGTGGGATGGGGAGGTGACTAACTCCACAGTGCTGGGCCCACCCGTGCGAGGCTCTGTGCAGAGCTCCTCAAGGCCTCACCCCCTTCCCCAGCCCTGGTAGCACCTCCATTCTGCATGCGGGACACCACTGGCCCAGGAGGGCAGAGCCATCTGCTAAAGCCAGGCTGCCTGGCTCCGCGCTGTGGAAATTCATGCAGATTCACGTATTTTTAAATCCTAAAAGAACTGAGAGGAGGGAGGAGGATTTCGTTGGATGCATGAAATGGGGGATGGAAAATCAGGAACATTCCAGAGACAGAATGATGAGAATGAGAGAAATCTAGTGTGCTAGGAGCCAGGACTAAGTTCTCAGGTCAGCAGGGAGAGGCCGGCCAAGGCAGGAGGGGAGGGCAGAGGTGTCCCATTATAGTGGCACCTAAATGTCTGAGGTTTCACAGGGAATCATCCTTCCCTCATCTCACTCTCTGCAAAGGGGAAAACAAAATTTCAGCCAGGCTCCCCTAACCCACCCTTGCCTGCCTCCCACCTGTCTTCACCTGCCTTACAAGCAGAGAGGGGGTAAAACAGGATTTGCATGCCAAGGTCCAAGGTCCAAGGCCCAGCTCTGCCATAGGCTGGTTGAATGTCCTTGGGTGTTGCCAACCTCGCTGAGTCTCAATTTCCTCATTTAGGAAAGGAGGTTAATGATATTGACCTCAAAGGATTGGTGTCAAGATTATACGGTAAATTGCTTTATAAATACAAGGTGCTCTACATATTGGTTAATTACCACTATTAACCAAATAACAAAAATAATAATTAGTATTATTAAGAACTAGCTAGGTACCAATGACCTATTTTCCCCAGAAGGCATTGGAAGGGATCCGTGGGCTCAAGAGTAACAGACATTAGATTGAGATGTGAGGCCCTTTCCACTGAGAGTGGAGGGGGGGGTCCCAGCAGATGCCTTTCCCCTGCTACACCCTCACCAGGCCACCCCTCACAGACGCTGGAGGAAGGTACGTTTCCAGTTTACATCCAATTCCTTTTCTTGCTGTCCTTGCAACCCCAAATGCTTTTCCCCAACAAGCACCCACTGAAGAGTGTGTGTGCTCACAGCACCCAGAAGCCAGGGGCCTATGCTCCTGTTTCCCCACCTTGTGGGGCAGGGGCCAGGAGCTGGCCAGCAGGAGGCCCCTCCATGGTCACCCATCCCTGGTGCACTTGCAAGTTTTCCACGCCCTCTGGGACTGAACCTCCTCTGTCTCTGAATCTCCTTCCTCAGCCAAATACTTTTCCCCTCTTGCAGGAAGAAGGGTAGGGGCAGGAATGGCTGAATGATTTGCAGGACCCAGTGCAAAATGAAAATGCAAGGCTCCCAGTTCCTATAGTATTAAAAATTTCAAAACAGCTTACAACAGAGCATTAAACCAATCAGAGGCCCCTTCTAAGGGCGGATCCCTCTGAGGCTGCACAGGTCGCACGCCCAGGAAGCTATCCCTAGGTAGAGGACGTCTTTAGTTACACACAGACACTGACAACCCTGGGGCCCTAATTACACTTTGCGTCGGAGCTGCCTTTTATTGCTAGAAACACGTTCAGACCTGCTGCTCTGAAAACATTCTTCAGCATCCTCTCTGCTTCTAGCCTCTTCTGCCCATCACCTCTTGAAGGGGGCTCAGGGCAGCCCTGAAAATCAGAGACCAGTGGTTCTCAAAGTTGAGTGTGCATGAGAATCTCCTAGAGGGCTTCTCACAGCACAGATCGCTGGGCCGCGCCTCCAGAGGATCTGATTCTTGGGTCGGGGGTGGGGCCTGAGAATCTAACAAGTTCCCAGGGGATGCTGATGCTCCTGGTCCAGTAATCAAGCTTGGAGAACCACTGATACAAATGACAAAAGCACTCGGCTGAGGTGAATCTAGTCTGCCAGGTGGCTCATCTGGCCACATGAGGGCAGGTTCTGACTGAGGCTGGCTGCCCCTGACTGAGGGAGGGCACCCTGAGTCCTCCCGCTGCTCAATTCCTGTCTTCCTTTCCAGGGTGGTGAACCAGGAGGAAAAGTCGTTTGCCATTGGGGTACAGTTCTTGCTAATGCGTCTGCTGGGTAAGTGTGTGAGACACCCCCTTCCTGAGGAGTGACCCCTGGACATCCCAGGGCGACAGGGTGCAGGGTGGGGATGGGGAAAGTCCTCTCTCATCTCTCTTGTAAAGAGAAGCTGTGCATGATCAACACAACCCCACAACTGCCCCAAAACCCTATATGGGCAGTTTCCTTGTTACTTGTGGTTAGGAAAGATTTCATCTATGGCGTTAATTCCAAACTAAATCATGTAATAAAGGTGAAAGGCGGACACACAACCGAGACTACCTAATAGAGAATTGAAGGCAGGTGTTTTGTTTTGTTTTGTTTTTTGTTTTGTTTTTTAAATATATCTTTATTGATTTCAGAGAGAGGAAAGGAGAAGGGGAGAGAGAGAGATAGAAACATCAATGATGAGAGAATCATTGATCGGTTGCCTCCTGCACGCCCCCGACTGGGGATTGAGCCCGCAACCCGGGCATGTGCCCTGACCGAGAATCGAACCCCGATCACCTGGATCCTAGGTCGACACTCAACCACTGAGCCATGCCCTGCCAGGAAGGCAGGTGCTTTTTAATCTCACTCCAAGAACTCGCCATCAGAACAAAACCTTGCATTTCTGTCCGGGCAAGAATGGTAGCTGAGCCTAGCCCCTGGCTTCCCTCTCATTTTACAAAATTCACTCCTCCTATCACCACTTAGTAAATGGTCCTCTGTGCATGCGGGCCCTGTGTGAGGACACCCTGCCTGCCCTCAAGCAGCCCAGAGCCTGCCGAGAAATGGAGCTATGCCCATTTCAGTAGTGCCCACAGGAGGGTGAGCTGCCTTCGGGTGCAGGCACACCAGGCCTCCCAGATGCATGGGCTGAGGGTAGGAACACGTGTGGGTCTCACGGGCACATTGCAGGCTCATTCCCAGACTGCTTACGTTGAACCGTCTCTTCTCAACACATCCTGGCTCTAGACAAACACAAGGCACTAATATGGAGACCCTGGCAGTGACAAGTAAAGGAAGTAGAGGGACCAGGTTCAACTGGAGATGTGTTTATTGGGACCCAGCGGGTGTGCACTGCAGTGGGGGTTATGGCAACTGCAGTGGAGGGACTTCCATTACTATCCAGGTGTACTTTCTGACCCTAAACACTGAACTTCTACAGAGCCCTCTGCGCATTATTACCCAGGAGCCCTGCAGTGTCTCCCATTGTCATTCTGGGGGGTGTTGGTGATGTGACCTCCTGGATCTGCTGAGTGGGAGCCTTTGTGGGGCCCTCACCAACTGAGGTTGAGTGAGGTGTTCAGATGATGAATGAACCAACTTCAGTGGCATTTCCTGGCTTTGGGCCACTTGCTCTTCTCATCCCTGTAGAGCCCCTTTAGACTCTGTATTATAAGCACTTGCTCTCGGGAAAGCTCCACTAGGAAGGAAACCTTGCATCCCGCCCAGCCCAACCATCAGTGGGATGCCCTGCCTCTTACAGCCACCTGGAGAGACCGCCCTCCCACTGCCTTTGTTTCTTTTATTTTAACTCAGATAACTCAGTGTGGGACCTCGTTAGAAAACCCAGGCCTGGAGGGATCCCATTCATTACCCAAGAATGCAATTCCATTCTGGGGTAATAAAAAAGGACTTCATATTTATAAACCCCAGCAAGTTTAAAATTACCTACTTGGACTTGGTTGAAAATTTTCTGGACTTCATTTCTATTTAGGGAGCATCACTGGAGGACAGTCAGTCCTTGTGGCCAGTTTCAGTCTCTCATTCACCTGTATCCAGAGGCTGGTTCTGGAAGTTTCCCACTTACAGGTGGGGCCACAAGCAGAAGATTACAGCTTCTCATAGAGTCCTAAACAGAGTGTGGGAGACTGTTCTCAGCACAGTGTTTCTGAGTGTATCCCAGATGGACTGTGACTGCCTAGAACTGTAGCTATCAATAGAGGGGCTGTTCCAGGGTATTTACTAGCAGGAAGGCACAGCCCCTACTGGACCAGGCCTCACCACTCAGCTTCGAGATAGTCCAGAGGGCTTGGGGCAGGGGCTCTGAGCAGCCAGGGTGTTGGGGTTTTTCTGAAGGTGTTGTCTGAGCTTAGTGGGAGAACATGGGATTCGAACCTCTGTAAACTGGGACTCAAAGTCGAGCCCTGACTCCTCTTACCTATGTGATGGTAAGCTCGCCAAGCCCACCTTTCTCCTCGTTAAAATGAAGGCACCCACCCACCTCCGGGTGCTGTGAGAACCTGAGGAGTCGATGCCCCCAAGAGCCTCCTGCCACACAGTGGAGGCCAGCGTATCTCCACCTGGGACCAATCCCAAATGTGGGAACTGTGTTGTCTGTAGGCTGGATCAAGGTGACCTCTGTGACTTGCTCTGCCTTGAAATGATGGGTGAGGTCCCTTTTCTCTTCTAAGCTCTAGTGAAAGAGGGATTCAGGCTTCACAAAAAGCTATTCTGCTTCCCAAAGTCACAGTGATTCCCAGGGGCAGGCAGAGCTGTTTCTCACACCTGTGACATGCAAGGGCATTGGGGGTGCCTCTGCCAGGTGCCTCTGCCTGCAGATCCATGTGGCCTGAGCTCTCTGAACTTTCTTTCCACTGATGCCAGCCTGGCTGCCATCTCCAGCCCTCTACGGCCTCACCATCGACTACTCCTGTATCCGGTGGAACTCGCAGTGCTCTGGGCAGCGAGGGGCCTGTGCCTACTACAACAACGATGCTCTCCGAGACAGGTGAGGGCCCAACATGCCATGTGTCAAGGAGGCCAGGCCCCAGGCCTGGGCAAAGGGCAGTCATCTGTTTTGGTGGCTATCGTGGGGGATGTCAGGCTTCCGAGGGAGAAGACCAGAGGGGTGCTGCTATAGACAAGCAGCAGGGGCACGGTGGTGGGCATCTCACAGCTCACAGAGAGCCATCCAAGTAACAAGATGCAGGGCCTGCTCTGAGGTGGCCCCCAATCTGCGGTCCCCACAGGACCTTGGAAGGACAGCAGCAAAAGAAGTGTGTCAAAGGGAAAGGGGATGGTTGGAGTCCAAGGGAGAGGCCATGGCTATGTAATGGTGATACGAGGCCAGCCTGTCAGGCCAGCTCATAAAGAGGTGGCCCCATCACAGCTCCTAGAAGAGGTCAAGGGCAGGCGGGTCCAACTTGCCTCCGTGGGTCTGAGCCCAGCTACCGTGCCACTGAGTTCTGTATTTCTTCCAGCTACCTCACCGCTGCCATCATCATCACACAGACAGAAACAGTGGGGAGAGGGGGCTCGAGAGGTGGGATGGGACTGGGACCGGGCTGAAGTGCACTGAAGGCTGCGAGAGGGGTGGACCAAGAGGGCAGTGAGCCCCCTCTTCTGGCAGGCTGGGAGGACAGGACCCTCGGGGCTGGCTGGGGCTGCAGTGTTGCCTTTGGCCCCCCAGGGGGCGGCAGTGCAAGGAGGAGGCCCACTGGCTTAGGCTCAGCCTTCTCAGGGGGAGGCCTGCACCCTTGTGGATCAAAGGAATGAGGAAATGGTCCCTACCTGGGTGGTGACAGATCCTTACCTGAGTGGCGACGACGCATTGTCTGGGCCACTGTGAGAATGATGTCACTCTTCCTGGTGGCCCTGGGATGTGGGCTACAGAGCCCCCACTGCCTCTCACCAGTCCTGTATGCTGCCCACAGGTACCTGGGCCTGCAGGTGGGCTACAAGGTGCTGGGCACGCTGCTGCTCTTCTTCGTCAGCTGGCGGGTGACCAAGAACAAGGAGTACAACGTGCAGGAGAAAGCTGCCGGCCTCATCTGAGTCTTGGCCCCTGGCCGGGCACCTCCCGGCTTGAGTGCGGGCCTGCCCTTTCATGCCTGCCTGTATTTACTAATGTTAATATGTCATTTCCTTTTCGTTTTTTAAATAAGAAAACAACCCCAGTCACCATCTGCTTTCCTTGCCTCCTCCCAAAGGCCCCCACTCAGGGTTCCTTAGGGCCGCTGTGCTCCTGGGCGGGGTGGGCACACGGCTGCAGGGCTGGGTTTTCACTGGCTCCTTGGGAGAGTTCCCATGTGCCCACGGGCTCCTCAGTGCTGGGCCCTCCAGTGAGGCAGCCTCCGTCCCTTGCCAGGCCTGTGGGGGGTGGTTTCCTAAATGGAGAGAGAAAAGGGGTGTCTGTCCAGAGAAAGAAAGGAGTGGGCTGAGTGGGCTAGAGGATGGGGGAACCTGGCTGTTGCCCCCTTTGAATCGGTTCAGAATCAACATAGCACCCAAGAGGGGCTGGCTCCCCTCCTCTCAGACCCTCGCTTCCTGCCTCAAGAGGTCATTTTGGAAGCTGCCATGTAGGGAAGTAGGGCAAGCTGGTCCCCTCCAGTTACCCACACTCAGGCACTAGAGCAAGGACCAGGACACCCCGAGAATGACTCATCCAAACACTGTTCATATGAATTCTAGACCCTTCTGTACATGGGTCTGTGCATGTTTGTCTCTGTCTTTCTGGGAGTACATTTCAAACTAAGGAAGCTGCACCATGGTGAAGACCTGAGGAAGGCTGTGAGGTGGTCATGGTGCCCAACCTCCCATCCCCACAGTGTGGGGCAAGACTCCTCATCTCAGAGTGGTCTGAAGACCCTCTCCAAGTTTCCCTGGGAGCAATGAGGCGGCTTCACACGGGCTTCCCTGTCTGGACTTCAGATACCACAGAATAAAGAGAAGCAGCCCCGGAGGTTAGCAAAACAAGTGACAAAGCTGAGGGAAGGTCCAGTGCTGCCAAGCTGGATGGTGAGCCACAGTCCACAAAACAGAGGCTGGTGAGGTTGGCTTTCGTGGTTTCAAACACTTGTTTTCAGTTTTCTCTCCTCTTCTTACGGCCTCCGGAGGTGGTGCCCTCTATGGGCCTGAGTTGAGAGACATTGCAGCTGTGTGGCAGAGGTTCAGAGTTAGAAGCCAACAAAGGAGGCCTTTCATCCACAGATATATTTATTGGACTTTGTACAAGGCAGTGCTAATGCACGGTTCTCCACTGAGCTTCCCCGAGATCCCACCTGGCCTCTCTCCATCTACACTAGGGGCTCCTCCCAGAGTGTGCTGGGTGGGCACTGGTGGGAACAGGGAAGGCACAGCAAAAACCCAGAGACTGTCAACAGGATCTTGACCATCCATGCCCCAAGACTGACCCTGTTCCTGGCCCTTTGCCAGACAGAGGCCTGGCTGAACTGCATCTTCTGGAGCAACTGGGCACTGGTCATTGCCACATGTGGATCTCCTGAGTGCCATTCCTCATGGAAGACTCCTCCAGAAACATATCAGAAGCCACCTCTGGAAAGGCCAAAATATGTATGTCAATGGCCAAACTGCCATGAGACTGAACTCTGTGAAAGTCACGGTTACCGAGGCCTCATTTCCAAAGCCACCCACCTTATTTCCAAAGACCTCACCCAGGAAGCGAAGCTCCATGCAACCTCAGGGGCCAGTTTCAGCATTTAAAATGGCCCCACTTAGAAACCAATTCCCTGCAACTAACCCTGATCTTTCTTGCTGCAATTTAACCAAATTCTGAAGTCACTGCCTTCAGCTGAACTCACGAACAGTGAATGCCAACCTTCAGATTCTGAAAGATCGGTTGTCCTCCCAAACCTTTATTCTATTATGATATTGCTATTAATATATTATAATTTTGCTATTGATATAAGTTGGTCATGAATTTGTACTGGCATGTGTATCTATCAGGGAGCAGGTGGAACCTGCACCTTCTGGCCAAAGGAAATGCCCAGTGCCACAACTCTCAGAGGCCCGTGGTCACAGGGATCAGAAATAATGTAACTCTCAGGCCACCTGCCTGGTATAAAGCAGGCAGCAGGTGCTTCTTGTTCCTTAGGTAAAGTTCTGCAGGTAACTGTCAAAGGCCCACAGTGCTGGTCTCTCAGGAAGCCTGATGCTGGCCCTTGAGTTTATATACAAAAGTGGGGTTCGTCGCAAACAACCAAGTCCATAATACAAAACAGAATTAATATCATAATCATTATTGATCACTTGGTCGCAGCCAATACTACTGATCCCACAGCAAATCTTTCCTCCCATCTGCCAGCAGGGAATGTAACAAATCTGATTTCCTGGGTGGCTGCAATCAGGAGCTAGTGGGCTTATAAAACAGCCCAAGAGCTCACAGCTATATTAGGTTCTTACCATCACTAAGTGTGGGATTCTCACTTTCCAAGCTTGCGAGTACAAAATGTGTCACAGTCATTTCTTTAAATCAGTTATATCTGACGTCAAGCCCTCATCCTGCTGGCTGGCTGGAAAGTCAATGTCAACCATCCTTGGGGCTGGCTTCCAGCGCCATCTGTGGGCTGTGAGGTCCTGCCACTGTCCGTCTTTGGTTCTTTCCCAGTCTGAGGCTCCCTCCCCTGCTTCTCCCCTGAGCCTGGAGACCCTGCAGAGGCCAGAACCACCTCCCTGTGCACACACCACCAATGCCATCCTTTCTGGCCAATCGTAGGAAGCCCACCCCTCTCCCAGTCCCTCAGGGCTGAATGAAAAAGCCAGGAAAGGAAGGGTCTGCAGGAACCTTTTTATCCCATCTTTCCTGAAACATTTTTGGCATAAGAGAGGGAAAATGCAATGAGAGTCGAACGCCCTATCTCCATAAATTATTCTTTGGCCCAAAGCCCTCTAGGGTAGCAGTTGTCAACCTTTTTCATCTCATGGCACACATAAACTAATTACTGAAATCCTACAGCACACCAAAAAATGTATTTTTTGTGGATCTGACCAAAAAAAAGATATAATTTTTATTTCATGCATACCAACAGCTATTGTGTTGACTGTTGTCATTTTTTAAATTTGACATTCTAAGGGAAAAGAGGTCAGTGCCCCTGACTAAACAGTCAGGTACTGCATGTTTTAAAAATTCTTGCAGCACACGGTTGGAAATCGCTGCTCTAGGGTGATCCTCATCAGAGCCCCACAATGGAGACCAGGCTTATCTTAAGGCCCCCATTTGAAGTTGAGGACTCTGAAATCAAGGAAGTTACCATTGTGGACAACTTCGTGCAAATAACTGGTTGGACCTGAACTTAAAACAGGCTGCCCAGCCCTCTCTGTCTGGTCCAGCTCCAACACCAGCCCTATCTCCCCTTCTGAGTCATTCTGAACTTGCGGGGAGGCCCCTCTGTTCCCACTGAAGTTCACAGGCCCATGGGATGGAGGTGGGGGAATCTACTGGGGGCCATGTAACAGGGGTAATGTCTGAGATGGGGAGAACCAGGTAATATTTCATTTACCCACTTTCTTACTTCTTCAAGTCACCAGATCATTACGACTGTTCACTAACCAGGGCCACCTTAGCCCTACAGCACCATGAGTTAAAGGAGTTGCAGAGAACAGGGACAAAGAGGAAAAGGCTGCCAGGAGACAAGGTCTCGAGAGGTCTGCACATAGACAGGCCTTCAAGGAACACCCCCACCTGGTGATGGGTTAGCAGATCCTTGCTTAGGAAATAAAGCCATATTGTTATTTTTTTCCAAAGGTTCTCAAAGATGGAGAGATACAGTTAAGCTGGGGCTGAATCCAGTCAGTTTCAAGTTTTGTTAAAATATTATATTACAGATAGATTCCCAAAGAGATTGGCAAGGGCTGTGTGTGTGTGTGTGTGTGTGAGAGAGAGAGAGAGAGAAAGAGAGAGAGAGAGAGAGAGAACTATCTTTTATAAGCACAGGAACTAAATACCTGGGAGAAATGTCTCTCTCCTACCAATAGCACCAGAATCATTATAACCTTTCCTCAGAGATTAAATGTGTAAACAGGTCCTGGGCAAGCCTTTGGCAAATCATAAGGGAAAGCAAGTTTTTCTCTTAGGACATACCCTGCCCCTTCAGCCACTCTTTTTTATTGTTGTTGTTGTTAATCCCCCCCTCAGGAATATTTTTTCCATTGATTTTTAGAGAGAGTGAAGGGAGGGAGGGAGAGAGAGAAGGGGGGGAGAGAGACAGAGAGAGAGAAAGAGAGACATCAATGTGACAGACACATCGATATGACAGAGACACATCGATTGGTTGCCTCCCGCATGCTCCCATTGGGGGCTGGGGATCAAACCTGCAACCCAAGTACATGCCCTTGACCGAGAATCAAACCCACGACCCTTCGGTGCACAGGCCAACGCTCTAACCACTGAGCACACTGGCCAGGGCCATTCAGCCACTCTTCGCCTCCCCACCTCCATCCCTGCAGTATGGCCACACTACACAGGGGTCACCCTACCTTGCTGAAGTCCTTGCCCCCCAGGCGCCTTGATAACAATACCTAAAATGTGTGCAAAGCCATCCATTTAACAAACTCCTTTAAAGTTAACTCAATCAGATAGGCTTAAGCTGCCATGCTTCGGAAACAAACCGCGTTAATCTGTCGCGTGACTCAACAGGAGTTCACATCTTGCTCACCTAAAGTCCACTGCGGGTCCAGGTGGCTCTCTGGGGCAGTGGCCTCCAAATGGTGGCTCAGTAATCCAGATGCTTGGATCCTGAGGTACGTCCGTTTTTTAGCATGCTGCCAGGACTGGGGAGGCAGGGGCAGGGAGTCTTTCACGGTCGTGCACTGGTAAGGAAACGCTCTAGCCCAGAAGCAACATGTTTCATCTCTGCTCCCAGCCCACTGGTCAGAACTAGTTGCATGTCCCTTTGTAACTGCCGCGGGGATGGGGAAGGATGATCCTCCTGTGAGCTCAGAGGAGACAAACATCAGATATGGATGGGCACTGGAACCCCAGGCTTGGAGCTGAAAGTCAGAAAGCCGTCTCAGGCAGAGTGGCGCAGCTAATTTAAAGGGGCATCTACTCAGGCCCCCAATGTGTTGCTGACCCCCTTCTCTTGGCTCTGTGGTCCATCAATGCGCCATACACTGCATTCCCTTTTATGGACACCGAATCCATAAACGTGACTTTGGAGGTCCCAGGTGGGTACTGACGCTTGTTTAAAACTTGGTCCTTGGAAGATCCGGATGAGGCAGAAGCTCTCCCTTTGGGTGGACATTGGGAAAGGGCCCAGGCAGGTTTCGCACTGTCCCTATCTGACCGCTGGGCTGGAGCCACCGCTGCAGACGCACCGAGTGTCAGGGGGGCTCCTGAAGCCCTTCAGTAGCTCGGGCGTGTTGAGCGCTCAGACGCTCCTAAGTTTGTGCCTGTAATCGTCACCATAGCCCTATGAGACACAGTTATCACGCCATTTCACAGGCCAGGACCCTGGCGCAAAGCCCGCTTTGTGGTCGTGGCCCCGTTTCACTCATCTCCACGGAGAAGGCGGCTGAAGGCCGGCGCTAAGGTCTGCGCGGAGCCGACCGGGCGGAGCGGCAGTCGGCCGCCAGGGGGCGCTGCCCCACCGGCAGGGACCGGGCAGGGAGACGGAGGAGGTGGCGCCACGCCTGCGGGGCGAAGGGACCAAGGAGAGACGGCTCCGCGTCGCACCAAACCCTGTGTTGTTCCCCCCACCCGGGCTACCCGGCCCGAGCCTCAGACAGCCCAGCTTCCCCGCCCGCTCCCCGCACCCTCTGCACGCCCGCACCCCCCTATTCTGGCCACCCGAGAGTTCCGGGTCCGAGCCCACCTGCACCTGCTCGCCAGACACGATCTGGAAAGATTTTCCTCTCCCCCTCCCCCGAGACAAAGCACCAGTTAATCTATTTTTATATTTACAGAACAAACGTGTAGTAAGCACATCAAAGAAAAAACGGTAGAGAAAAAAGATGCCAGGAAGCACCAAGAGTGCTAAGGGGCACACAGGGCTTCCCCCTTCCCGCCTAAGGTGGGCAGGGCAGTCACCCAGGCCACAGTGCCCGCTCATCATTCCCTCTCTGCAGGGGGCTCATGTAGCCTCCGATCCCTCCCTCCTCCAGTTCCCAGAGCACCTTCTGGGGCCTGGCCCTGAGTTAGGAGCACTCATCAGCTGGAAACCTGTCTGTATCCCGGGCACTGTCCATCTTGGGGAGTGCCCAAGTGGCCATCCTGTCATAGACTCAGGCACTGGGCAAGCGCTGGGCACAAGCTTGTGGAGTGAACAAGACAAATAGAATCCCTTCTCCCTTGGAATTTACAATTTGTGAAGGAAGACAGACATAACCAAGGCACACCAATTGTGTGGTTGCAAAGGGCTTACCCATCACAGGTGCAATAGCGTCAGGAAGGAGAAGCGCAGAGAGGTGGGTGCCTGCGTGGAGATACAGGGGTAAGTGGGGGCATGTGGTGGTATCACTAAGGCGATAAAGGCTGGTTCCCTAGGAGATTGGGGATCAGGGCTAGAGGAGGTGAACTCCAGCTGAACTTGAAGGAAAGGGCAAGTTTGTTAATTATGGGCCTTAGAACGAAGGTATTGTGGGCAAAGGGGACTGCAGGAGGGAAGACTCAGAGGTGAGAAAGCTTCATGTGTTTGCCCGAAGGACAGGAGGTGGGTAGTGCACACAGATACAGGTTGATGGAGGTAAAGTGTAGTGGGAGGTAGGCTCTAGAGGGAGGGTGTGCTGTGCATTCCTCCTTTAGTAACTGGGGCACTGCCTGTGGGTAATGGGGAGCCACTGGCAGGCTTTTAGCAGAGGTAAGGTACACCCAGATTTCTGGGTTTAAAAGGCCAATGGGGCATGTATACTTGAGAAAGGGAGTCTGGCTGGCAAAGGTAGGGAGGGAGACCTCCTTGTCGTCATCAT